CGGTGACCCTAGCAACAGAGCCGAACTTGGTAAGTTACTGTACAAACACCAGCCGGTGCGCTCACCCGCACAAAGCGGCGGCAGGGAAAACAAAGAAAGGGAAAAGGGGGAAAAGGTTCCTCCTCAAACAGGAAAAGAGAGCTCTCTAGCTCGCTGGAGAGCTCGAGAGAGCGCGAAAATGTCGGATTTAGACCGACAAATCGAGCAACTGAAGCGATGCGAGCCTCTTAAGGAATCGGAGGTGAAGGCTCTTTGCCTCAAAGCCATCGAGATCCTCGTCGAGGAGAGCAACGTTCAGAGAGTCGATGCTCCCGTGACTGTAAGATTACGCTCCTCAAAACCCTAATTTCCCCTTTTCGCCCTATTTTTGAGCTGTAATTCTAGCCGTTCGGGCGTTGTTCTGTAATGGGTACTTGCCTTATTTTGGGCTGGGCTCGACCTAGCAACTGTTTGGATTGGTTAACTTGGTTCTAGGGTTTTGTTAAAACCGAAGTTTAAGGGGTTCGGAGAATTTTGTGTTTATGTTTTAGGGTTTCAGGTTGGGGTCAACATTGTGCTGGATTGATTGGATGGGTGCTCTGTTATTGATTTTGCTACCGTTACAGTTGTTGAATTTTAGGGATTCTTGGAGTTTGTGAGCCCGGGGTTGACCGTTGTGAGCTAAGAATGTTTCTTGCGGATGCTTTATTCATTGAGCAATTGTAGAAAGGAAGAAGAAGCTCTGGTAATTGAAGAATCGGCCTATTAGTTGGAGTTTGTTATTATTGGCTTCTCTAAATTTAGGAATTAAGTGAGAGATTAAACATATAACTGTTATGTGAGTACAACAGGAGCATGGTATTTATTCTTCTCCGTATGTGTTAGATTTATAAAAGTATAATACTCAGCCCTCACCATAACTTGGAGTTTTGGTGTAATTGTTAGAGGGACTTTGGGAGTATGTTTTTGGGTTTGTAATGTGATGGCTATTCTTTTCATGCATTTAGTTTAATGCTAGTGGTATCTTCCTGCTTTTGCTTCAAGACAATGTGCACCATTGTCCTGGTAGTTTATTTGAAAACTTGTTTAATGTATATCATCCATTCTAGGGTTCTTATCTCAAAGATTGAACATTAATTTAGGATTCTAGTATCATGCTCAGCGACTAACAGTCTTTGATTTTGCCTTCTCAGATATGTGGAGATATTCATGGACAATTCTATGACATGAAGGAGTTATTCAAAGTTGATATTCATGGACAATTCTATGACATGAAGGAATTATTCAAAGTTGGAGGTGATTGCCCAAAGACAAATTACTTGTTTCTAGGGGATTTTGTTGATCGAGGATTTTATTCTGTTGAAACATTTCTGCTTCTGCTAGCCTTGAAAGTAAGGCTCTTCTGAATTATACATCTAAGGCCTTCAGCCTGTTTATATTATCTGGACTGTAAAACTTTCAAGTTTTGACAACATGTTTTTTTTATATACTTTCTTCTTTAAAAAACCTCTTTACGAGAGGCACTTCTCGGTTAGTACAATTTCTGACCAATAGCTCTGTGAAAATAGATTTTACATGGTGGCTTATTGGTTAAGGTTTTGAAAAAAATGCTCCTACCTTTCTTGTCTGATATTTGTTCCTTTATTCGTTGGTTTGTTACTTTTTGAAGTTTTTCATAATGCTGAGGAGTGATAGCTGAATGCTTAGGTCATCCATGCTTTATTCTATTATTTACAATAATTTAAAAGTGCCTTCAAGAAACATGTGAATGCTTAGGTCATCCATGCTTTATTCTATTATTTACAATAATTTAAAAGTGCCTTCAAGAAACATGGTTACTTATCCTATCACCGTGATTAACTGGCTCTATCTAGTATCTATTCAGTGGCCTTCAAGAAACATGGTTACTTATCCTATCACCGTGATTAACTGGCTCTATCTAGTATCTATTCAGTGTCTATAAGTATTGGTCATAATATGTTCTTTGTATGATTTTTAAGGTATTGCTCAGACAAGATTTCCATGTACTGCAGCGTCATCTGTGATTTTGTTTAGCATTCCCGAATGATTTTCATAGTTCATTTTATATAACTTTATTTGTCCACAGTAAACTTTCTTGCTCCACATAGTGGTCGTAATTTTTTAATTACAAATTATTTTATCTTAATTGTCGAGGATAATATGATTAGTTGGAAGATTTTTCTTTCTGGTGGCTTCCTATCTACATGTCCAGTGGAACAGGACATGGTACCCTCAATCCAAATTTAAGGATAGTTGAAAGTTTGAGCTTCTGTCAAAGTTTGTGGCTGCCTTAGGAATATCGCATGTGGAACTGTTATTAACCTGATGAATTCCTTGATGACTGTAAATTGTATTAAGTTGAGAAATAGTTTTGAATCGTCAATCAGTTAAAATACTTAGTAATAAAAGGGTCCAGATTTGTAAGATAGAAAAATATTGGATTTGATTTTAGAGTTCAGTCATGAGTACAAGGATGGAAAATGCGACAGAGATTTATTTACATATACAACAAAGTACTAGGACTCTACATAGGCAGCTCTTGAGTCGTGATGATATATGCCCCCAATTTCTTCATTAAGTCTTAATTGGAGACATTTTCTTTCTTCTACTTCAGCTTTTCTATTGTGATGACAACCAATAAACTTTTTAGGTCTGCTACTATTTACAGGCTGTAGTCCTAGCCATTTACTAGCATCTGAAGAATAGGGCTCTTTATGATGTCTCCTTGAATGAGTTAATAGTAATTTATCTAAACCTGCATGATTTTTTCTGTTTCTCTCGTTTGATATGTGCCTATAGTATGTTTTACTGGTACATTAAAAAATCAGTGTAAAATACATATAGATCCTGATTGTCCTATGTTTCTGCTATTGAGTTTCGTCCCTATTCTATGAAACTTTTTTTATTTTTTGAATAAGGAAACTATGAAAGGCATATTATTGTCAGCACATATAGCATATACTTTACAAGTCGAGATATGCATAACTGAGATAAAGTTTGTAATGTGGGGATTCAGCACATATAGCATATACTTTACAAGTCGAGATATGCATAACTGAGATAAAGTTTGTAATGTGGGGATGGGATTAAGAAATTCCAATAGTATGGAATCGAGATATGCATAACTGAGATAAAGTTTGTAATGTGGGGATGGGATTAAGAAATTCCAATAGTATGGAATATCTAAGATAGTTTGGTCGGATATTGAATAACAAATCTAGAGACATGCACATTGTTGGAAATTAGAATGGCTAGCAAAATTATTATGCCAATGAGTGTTCATCTGTATTTCTGTTGGAATCACTATTTGACTGTTGGTTTAAGTATTCAAATTGGTACTTTTTCTGAATTATTAACCATGCATTTCACCACCATTTTTTATGTGGATGACAAGACATCCTAAAGATGTCCTGCTGACGAGGGGGCACTGCCTGCAAACATATTTTCCATGTTAGTCATTTTCATTCGAAGGCTGTCAATATTCCTTCCAGAGTTGTTTCATCTTTATCCACAAATCACATGCTCATCACTTTCCAATGCGTCAAACTACTAGTATTTTTTGTTGTGTCACAATGTTGGTTAAATTTCACGGTCACTAGTCTCTTCCATTGCTAGCTATTTGTTACTCAATAATAAGTTTTGGTTCAACTCCACTCATTCTTCTGTTTCAGGTCAGGTATCCGGACCGCATAACCTTGATAAGAGGAAATCATGAGAGCCGACAAATCACACAGGTTAGTTCTTAGCTACTTATCGTAGCTCCTCACACACTGGAAACTGACATCCCCTATGATCCTCAGGTGTATGGATTCTATGACGAGTGTCTGCGTAAATATGGGTCTGTCAACGTATGGAGATATTGCACGGATATATTTGATTATTTAAGGTAACTTGCCTTCGTTTCATTGTATGTATCATGTTCTTTTTTCTTTTCTTTGTATTATTTTTCTAACGTTCACCTTTACCCACCGATTCAACCCCATCTCATTGCTTGGAGGCATTGGGGCCTAAGTTTGAATATAATTTTCTCTTATTGTAATTACAGTCTATCAGCACTAATTGAAAACAAGATTTTTTGTGTTCATGGAGGTCTATCCCCGGCCATCACATCATTGGATCAGGTTAGTCCTGTTTTTCTTGATCGGCCTTATTCTTCCTTGCCTTTTTTTTCACTCTCCCATTTAAGCCTTTCCCTGATGACAATTTGTTCTGTCAACAGATTAGAACAATAGACCGAAAGCAAGAAGTGCCTCATGATGGAGCCATGTGTGACTTGTTATGGTCAGACCCAGAAGATGTGGTTGATGGTTGGGGGTTGAGTCCTCGAGGTGCAGGCTTTCTATTTGGTGGGAATGTTGTTACCTCTTTCAACCACACAAATAGCATCGATTACATATGCCGTGCACATCAACTTGTAATGGAAGGATACAAATGGATGTTCAATAACCAGATCGTAACTGTCTGGTCTGCACCAAATTACTGTTACAGGTACTTGTAAACTAATGATCATAGAGTACAAAATCCGAGATTCATTTTGGCCTTTTTTGGAGTATACATATACTAGTAGCCCTGCATTTCATGTTGATATCAAGATATATACACAATGCTAATAAAAGAATTGACTCATTTGTAAGCATGCTGAGTGAAAGCTGGTTGAATTCAGGTGTTATATTCGCCCATTATGGTTATATCCTATGATTAGTACATGCACAGTTGAGTGTCATTCTCCGAACAAGCATGGGACATCGGATATGAAAATTTGCCAAAAATCCAGACACTAGGACATGGCTATATATGTACCTGAATATTTGTGTTTTTAACTCGTATAGATATGTATATTTGTTTTGCCACTCACATGTATTGAAGAACCTAATTTCAGTAAAGGGATGCACCATTCTCTTTCTTATGTATACTTTTTTCATGGAACAATAAACTAGAACTTGTGGGTATTGGATACAGATGAACACACGTGTTGTATTCAGGTGAATTGGACATACTACTTTTTGTTGGGAGAAGTTCTCTACATGTGATGTGTTGCATTCATTAGGCTGTTAGTCATCTAGGAGCATGTGCATGGCTGCAGGAAATAGATACGATATGTAATGGTGATGCCAATTCCTTAAAAGATACATGGGAACACAATGGCATAAATTCGAACATTATTTAATACCAATGTAAATAATAGCAAAGTTTGGTGCTAGTGACAGTCATAGACATGTATAAGTGCATTCATGTATAAATGCATGCATACAAATGTGCCATGCATGTTATCAATAATATTAGATAACTTTTGGTAGCACATTAACAGGAACTAGCTGGCTACATATCAGACCTTCAAACTTTCTGAGTAACTGAAAATTTTTGTTATACATATCATATATGCATCATATGTTAAGGGGTTAATATGTCTAGTGCTGGAATATGATTTTAAATTCTGTTTGATTTTAGTTGCATTTTTTTCCATCTTTTTATTAAGGAATGTGACTTCGTATTACTGTCGATTTACATAACTCAAAAATATTTCTTTTAAATTTTGTGCTATTTAGCCGTTCTGGTCTTAATAGATGTGTATCATCACAGATAATTTTATTTTGTCTTATATGTGATGGATCCATCTATTCATATTATTTACTTAAATCCTATAATTGTATGGGCGCACTTATAGTCTAATATAATACATATGAGATATAATTATTTTATGGATATGTGGTGTGAAATCAGTTTCTGTGGTTGTACATCTACTTTCTGTTTACACACATGTTGACGCACCATATTAGATAAAGAAACAGCATTTTTGCGCGTGGAATTTCTGTCAGTGATATAATAGATAACATGAAAGGATATGGTTTTCCTTGGATTATCTTTCAGAAGTAGCATGTTCAAAGTAGCACAACTTCACCAAACTGTCTTGAGTAGCTGCGGCTTAACCAAACTTACAGGAAACTCAGGAGGCTTTCTCCCTTTGGTGTCCCAATTTTAATGAATCACAAATTTGAATTGTCCAAATGACATGACAGAATTCTTCAGTCACTCTGTGGATGTCTAGAAGTTGGTCCCCGCTGTGTTATTGAACAATGACTTGATGATGATGGTTTCTGCAATCTATAATAATTCTAGTTTCATCTTGAGCTATTTTTCTTTTTCTATTTATGCCAGATGTGGTAATGTAGCTGCTATCCTTGAGCTGGATGAAAACCTCAACAAGCAATTCCGTGTTTTCGAAGCAGCACCACATGTTTGTATCCACCACTCAGTTACTGCTCTCATTATGCTTGCTCTGATAACTTAATTGTATAACCTGGAATTTATTGCAGGAGTCAAGAGGGGTTCCTTCCAAGAAACCAGCACCTGATTATTTCCTCTAGTTCAATTGTGGTGTTCATCACCATCCTTTATGTGAATTTTGGCAAGCTAGCTCATCAGATTTTCTATGATGCGGTGAGCCAAATGCATTCAAATCCTTCGGCATGCAACTATGAAAAGGTTAAGAAGTTCTTCTGGCTGTGGAGTGCGTTTAGATTGATTGGTTTGCTGGCAATTTTCCCTTAATTGTTGTATTGCCGATGCTTTTCATCATTAATTACTGTTGTAAAAAAACCAGGGATTTGTGTGAGGAGAGCTGCTCAGAGTTCACGACAGGCGGAAGACGGTGTTTTGAAAGAATATGTAGGAGAAATCGAGTTTATCATATATGTGTGTTTCTTTATGAAACCTGAGTTGAGTTTTGTACGAAATGCCTTGGGCTGTATCGGGCTGTATGGGAAAAGTAACCGAAATTCACTCAAGCAAGATCCTAAGTAAACTGGTGTTTTTGCTATTGGAATTAATTTTTCCCCCTATATTAAGCCCTGAAGTTCCATAGGACTCCTGATTGCAAATACTGCGCCCTGAGAATTATGACTATGCACATATTTTTTTGTTAGATGATGATAGTGGGTTGAATTTCTGTTACTTGCAATAAAGCTTTATCTCCTAAATTGTGATGTCAAGCTCCAAAATGAGTTTTTGCTTTTTTTTAATAGTTAAAAATTCATTAGATGGTGATGGTGTTATTTTGTCCTGTGAGTTAAGTGATTGGAGATGCACCAATTTCAATTCTATTTGTCGGCTGTTCCTATTATGAAGTATTTATGATGTTGGCATTTTTGCTGCGTTTGAAATAATTACTGACATAATTTCTGCTTCGCGGTAATATGATAAATGCATACAAAAAAAGTGAAAATTCAGATCCCGTACTGGATACCTTACTTCTTATTGCAGGTCGTTCTGGTATATGTTAATGAATGTTGGGACTTCAAATCCAAATGCTGATTAGACTTTGTTAAATGTTTCATCCGAGAGGTGACGCGCGGCCAGAACTGGAAATGCGATCTATGTTGTTGCCATCGCAAGAACAAGTCTGAATTTTGGAAACTACGGAGAAACTAAGAGAGCGCATAACCACTTTGAAACCTCAAATTTACTCTCTTTGGAAAGATCAACTCCAAACCACAGTGGCTAGCCTATTACACCATCATTATCATATCACCGTTCTAATCACCTCTCATCCAAATAGACTAAAAGCAGTAACATAACGTGCGTTTTATTTCTGGTCTGTTGATACAACAAACTTCCAAGTACCGCGAACTCTGAAAGGTACATGAAACTAGAATTCTATCATGTTTATCTTACGGAGTGGCCGGTAGGACTTTTCCGGTACATGTTCCAAAACCTACATTGTAGCCTTTACCCTGCAAATTTCACGAAGTGTCAGTTTTGAAATTGAGAAACAAATGTATATGTTGGTATTATGGTCAGTTTGGCAAAATGGAGATAAACCAGTTTAGTTCCAAACTAGGAGAAGCACTTAAACTGGTTTTGTTCCACTAAACCAGTTTAACTGCAGTTTCCAAACAGGCATTTAGCTTCATTAACAAAACAAATGAATCAGGGAAGACGGTGAATAGTAGTGCATTTACCTCAGTAACATCATATAAATAAAATTAGACTTGCAGTCAATCATAAGAATGCATTTTACAAGGGTCAATTTGGCTTCTTAAGGGAAAAGAAAAACACAACTACAACACCGCAAATCATATAAACTGCCAAAGTCCCACATGAAAGCTCTCAAGATGCTGAAAGAAAGTATGATAAAAGATATACAGCAGCTAAGTATATTAGGGGACAGAAAGCGTTAGATGAATATTACCTTGCAACATGCAGTCAGAATGACTTCATCACCATCTTCTAAGAATTTACGTTCTGAACCGTTAGTTAAGGTAAGTGGCTTTTGACCATTCCGCGAAAGCTCTGTGAAGCATCCAAATGATTCTGGATCCTGTAAAAGCATTTTTGTCATAAACATCTCAAATAAAGAAGAAAAGCGGAGTTCCTTCTGCTCGCAGTAATTATCATAAAATGACAAAAAAAAGAAGAGAGAACGAGTAATTTCTATTTTATATCAGGATTCAGGGCCTTTTACACACAGGTCCACTGATAGTCCCAGTTCCCAGCAGATCACCAGGCCTTAAGTTGCATCCATTGACAGTGTGATGTGCTAGCTGTTGCGTTATTGTCCAATATCTGCTCAACATAATATAAATTCAAAATTCTGTATCAGTCAAAGATTATACTTTTGCAAAAGTAATTTGGTTGTGGAAGAAGAAAGATAAAAAGAACTGGCAAAGTGACAAATTTAGTTCCTATTTTAACGAGAACAAAACAAATAAGACAGGAAATAAAAAGAAAGAAAGGAATTCAAACCAGTGCACTCTTAAAGAAATGAATTAATTAATATGATTCAGTTACTTTCGTCAGCACACTTGCTACATCTGAAAGGAATGAATTAACGTTAATATGACAAATTATTAATTAAGAAACCCTAAAATTCACAGACCTTTATATCAAAAATACATGGCTGACTGCTGAGCAGAATAGTTGCAATCATAAAACATTACAAGACAATGGAGCATGCATAATTAACATAGATCTCAAAAGGTGAACAATAGATTCTAAATATAATGCTTAAGCAACTTTCAGGCCTATATATATATATATATATATGTAAGAAAAAGCAAATATACAAAGAGATCTATTCTATGTGGGCACTTGCTCTATAGAAGTTTGAACCAAAACATATCTGAATACCTGTTCCGGAGCATCACAAGCAAAAGGTTCAAGAGCATCGAGAGTCACAATCCAAGGAGAGACAGTAGTACCTAAGGGAATAAATTGAAATACAAAAAGTCCTGTGTTAAGAAATGCATCGCCTCCAAAGCACAGCTGTTATGTAACTATAGCTGTTCTTTCAGGATTTGAAACATGATTATCCTTACTAAAGCTCTTCCCCAGGAAAGGACCAAGTGGCACATATTCCCATGCTATCATGTCTCTAGCTGCCAAAATTCTTCTAGTTAGACAAAAGAGAAAATATGCACATGTTGCTTGCAAAACGCAATGTGAAACATAAGAGAAATGAAGCTCAGACTACCGCTCCAGTCATTCATCAGAACAAGTCCAAAAATATGGTCAGCTGCTTGATTAATATCCACAGGTTTGCCTAATTCATTTCCGGGACCAACTATAGCAGCCTGGAAGCAATAAGGAGACCAATTAAAAAGATGACCACTGAAATACAGTAAAATGGTGGTCTCTCAGCAGCAGCAAAACTTTATAACTGATATACAGTAAAACAAGTTAAAGGCTTCACTGGAACAATGGGCTATTTAAACTTGGAATGGAGGGGGAGGTGTCATTAAACCTAAGTCTAAAAACATCAATCTATAAGGAATATTTAAGAAGAATAAAATTCTAACTACTCAGTAAAGACTAACCATCTCAAGCTCAAAATCCAACTTATGTGTAGGTCCGAAATATGGTGGAGAGTTTCCTCTGGGGTGACCTTGACCTCTGGAAAGAAAACAGAAAAGGGGTTGTGTTAATCAAAAGTAATAACATACAGAACTCATCTCAGCAGGGATTCTTGAGAATAAAAGCTAGAAAGTATACTATCTGCATTGAATCTATTGATAGGGAAGCTAACTAAATAAAACAGGCATCAGCTTTCATCACAATTGTGGTGTTGTGTGCAGTTGAAGAGAATTTAACATGGTACCAAAGTCGCACAGTTTTAGATACAACTGGAAACGCATTCCAAAACCATTTTTGAGGAAGCTCTCAACCTAGTGGAATATCACGCAACATCAGAGCTTGGGTGAAGGATAAGGTTGAGGAATTGCCAAACTGCACTTGGAAATCCAGAAAAGTGCATTCATTGTCTCTTCTAAGATTGATTAACATGCAATTTTGCCCTGTTGATAAAAAATTTGAGATGATACATTGAAAGATGTATGTCATCCCTGAAACTGAGGAATTGTTAAACTAACCTCAAGGAAGATAGTACCACACTACTTTTAAAATTCAGTGCACAGTACAACATAGAGGGTATAGGGAGAACAGAATTTACTTTGATATTTGGAGTATCACATTGCTCTCTCAAGAGAGACCGTGCCCTTGGTCCGTTATGATGTTATTGCAATAAAGGTCGCGAACCGTTCGCTCATCTTCTTTTGTCTACAAATTTAAACACTTTCTATAGTAAGCACATCACAAAATAAACCCGAAAAAAAAAATGAGAAGTTATAAGAACCAGATTAGAGCCTATCCAAATTGTTAGATCCAAGGTTCGTAAATCTCCTCTCCCATCCAAGTATTTCAGCCTCAAAATCACACACGAGAATTTTGCCACTGCTTGGGTAGCCCCAACATTGATGACCACACCATCTTAGCGTTATTATCCCCAACCTTGTTATCCAAACTGCAAGTCTGCAACCTCTCAGAATCAACTCTGATAATCATGATGATCCCCTGCCTCATCATTTATTTCTACTTTCTGATAATCGTCATAAATTTGTTCCACTTCCGATTCATCCATTACAATCTTTGTTCGACCTTGATCTGCCATCAATGGCCAACCATTGAATGACCCTCACATACTGACACCAACCAAGTAGTACATGGACATTATAATTGATTTACATTCTTTAGTTTGTTTAAAAACAGAAAAGAAAAAACTAGAAATAATATCAGGCACACAATATCATCTTTAACCTGGTACACAGGATAGCGTTAAATGTTGTAAAACAGACAAGTTAAAGATATCAGATGCAAATTTAATTAGATGCAAGTTGGAAATGTCAGAAGATCTGGACAGAATAAAACAAACAAGTTGGAATCTTAATTAAGCTACTTAACCTTGGACGAATAATATCTGTTCCAGAAATAACTACAGTAGATGCCCGTCCATGATAACCCATAGGAAGATGAAACCTGGAAATTTTAAATCTGTATTAGTGTTGTGAACATGGCGTGAGATAGGAGTTCATGATAAGAATGAAGCTCCCTAGAGTAACAAACAAGATACCCCATGTGATAAACACGTAAAATATGCATTATCTTAGTGTGTTTCAAGCATGATTTACGAGTGTTTAATGCATATTTCGTGTTTAGATCGAGGATACTACTGTGGTTTGTGTTCTTATATGTAGGTATTGGCTCAAGATTGAAAGATTTGATGATCGTTGGAAGTTATACAAGAGTTTGAAGCAACAACAAGATTTCGAATGCATGGTTCGTGAAGAAAATGGATGCACGAGTATGGAGAACTGGAATTTCGACCATGATGCAATTTGAATTCGGAAAAGCTCAAAAGATAAAAGTTGTATATCTCTTCAACAGGTTTTCAATGCAACTTGAATCACCTCATTCCGAGGTCGGACGCAAAAGTTATAGCCAAAATATCAAAAACTAAACAAACAAGCACAAAATCAGCAAAACAGCCCCTACCACACCCTGGTATGGTGCAGACCACACCTGTGGCGCGGAAATTAGTTATTTTCTAGATTTTTGGGGACATATAAATAGAGGTTTTGACTTAGGGTTTTGGATATCTTTTGTTATGTTCTCTTAGCCATCAATTAGCAATTATTTTGGAGTTCAAGTATTAAAGAAAGACATTAATCTCTTGTACAAGATTGGATTGCAAGTTTTGATTTTGGAGATTTCAATTGAAAGACGGGTTAATTCTTTCCTCTCTTTGATTTATTTCTTCTTATGATTGATTTGCATAATTATTTAATGTATTCTCTTATCCCAATCATGTGTGAGTAAATTTCTTGTCTAGGATTGGGAAAGAACCTAACTTTTTGGTGATTGATGATGAATTGATATAGGTTCTTGGTAAAAGTTTAAATCTTTAAACTTGATTTCTAGTGTTTTAATTTTGTTGATTCGTTTGATCACCATATTAGCAATCATAGGTAGTTAATTGAAGGACTGAAATGTGAAGATTAATACCGGATCTCTAGAAATTAAGCAGGGAGCTCGAACCACGAAAGTAGGCTAGATTCCTTGGGGATTTGATTTGGATTAGCATAAAGCTTAATGGGTTTAACTTAATCTTAATTCCACAAAAGTAAGTTAATTGAGATTAATTAGGCACGATCTTTAGACCTTGAAAGAGACTTTAGATTAATTTAGGCTAATTCTTCCTTTTTAGTTTAAACCAACACCGAGAACTAAAATAATTCATCATTGAGCATCGAAGTTGTGGTGATAACCCAATCCTGGCTCTTCATTATATTGAATTTCCACCTGATTAGTTATTATTTTATTTCTTTTAATTTTCATCTCTTCTAATTTACTCATTAGTTTAGCTAGTCGAATAACGTGAGATTTGGTAATTAACCCTAGTCCCTGTGGGTAGGGCTGAGCATGGTTCGGTTCAAACCGAAAAAACCGACCGAACCGACCCGAACCGACCCGAAAAAAACGGTTTTAAAAGTAAGACGGTTCGGGTCGGGTTGACAACTTTTCAAACCGAACCGAACCGAACCGACCGAATATATTCCCAAAATTCAAACTCGTTTGTGTTTACCTGACCCGTCCCAAACCCTCAACCCTAACTTCATTTCCTCTCATTCCCAAATCACAGCCGCCGCTACTCATTCCCAATTTCCCATTTCTCTCGCCCTCTCTCTCTCTCTCTCGCTCTCTCTCTCTTCTTCCAAGACCCCTTACTCTCACCTCCTCTTCCCGAAATGCCCATCTCCCCCTCCCCCTCCCGCAAGCGTGGAGGCCCCTTCGGCGACGAGCGTTAGGAGTTCTCCTTCAACTCCATCAAGAAGTCCAAGTCTTCCGACGACTCGGAGGTTTGCATTTGGGCGCAATGAAAACAAATATATACAAATTATCTCTTGGGACAAGCAATATTTGTGCCTTTGATTGTTATACTTGATGAAAGTTAGAACCGAACAAACCGAACCGAACCGCACCGAACCGATTTGCAACGGTTCGGTTCGGTTTTGAATTATAAGTGGTTCGGTTCGGTTGTTCAAATTTTGGTAAAAACCGACCCGAACCGAACCGTGCTCACCCCTACCTGTGGGATCGACCTTGATAGCTACGATGAGTCTGTGCGCTTGCAGATTTTGCCTACCAAGTTTTTGGCGCCGTTGTCGGGGACTATGGTGTTAATATTAAGTGCTTACGTTATTAAACTAGACTAGATTTTTTTTATATTCTCTTCGCTACTCACTTTCTTTTATGCAAGGGCATCAAACAGAAGTACACAACGAAAACAATCCTGAATTATCGGTGACTCTTGCAGAGATAAGAAGGTATATAAGGGAGCAAAGGAACACAGAACAAGCTACAATGGGTGATCAGAATCAGCTTCTTAAGGATTTCGCTGCCCCAAATGCTCAAGGCACGCATTCGAGTATTACAAGGCCCACTGTTGAAGCTAATAATTTTGAGCTTAAACCATCACTGCTCTCAATGGTTCAGCAAAATCAGTTTGGAGGAGGTGCTACTGAAAACCCGAATCTCCACCTGTCAATTTTCTTGAAGTATTGCGACACTTTGAAGCTTAATGGAGTGACCAATGATGTTATTCGACTCAGACTTTTTCCATTCTCTTTAAAGGATAAGGCTAGGGCTTGGTTGCACTCATTGCCCGCTAGGTCCATCACCACTTAGGATCAGTTATCCAGGGCATTTCTTGCAAAGTATTTTCCCCCAAGTAAAACAGCACAGATGAGGAACCGGATCACAAGCTTTGTACAAAAGGAAGGAGAGTCACTTTATGAAGCTTGGGAACGCTACAAGGAATTATTAAGGATGTGCCCTCACCATGGACTGGAGAAGTGGTTAATTGTTCACACCTTCTACAACGGGCTCACTTACAACACTCGGATGACTGTTGATGCTGCTGCAGAAGGAGTTTTGATGAACAAAACAATAGATGAGGCATACATTCTCATTGAAGACATGGCTCAAAATCACTATCATTAGGCGAACGAGCGGGCTCAGACATCAAAATGTGGCAAGTATGAAATAAATGCTTTAGATCATATATCCTCTAAAGTTGATGCTTTATTTAAAAAGATTGAAAGCTTGAGTATTAATTCTGTGGCGTCTACTTCAATTGCATGTGAGATATGCGATTATGTGGGTCATTCTGCACTTGAATGTCAATTAGGAAACCCCCCATCCCTTAATACTTCTGATAATGAACATGTTAACTATGTTAATAACTTTAATCAGAAGGGAGACCCTTTCTCCAACACTTATAATCCGGGGTGAAGGAATCATCCTAATTTTTCTTATAGAAACCCACCTGAAAATTCCATGCTCGCATCTAATTTTGGTCCACCTGGTTTTCGTGCTCCCTAATCTAATCTCCCTCCCCAAAGGTCGAATTTGAAAAATATGATGGAAAAGTTTGTGATGACTCAGTCAAAATTGAATGAAGAGTTTAAACAACAACAACAAACCACGAATGAGGTAGTAAAACAATTGGCCTCTAAGATGGATTCCTTAGCTACGCATAACAAGATGTTAGAGACACAAATCATTCAATTGGCACAAAATGCTAGCTCTTCCTCTAGGCTTTCAGGCATGCTACCTGGACAACCTGAGACGAATCCCAGAGATCATGTGAATGCTATAACCCTTAGGAGTGGAAAACAATATGAGGGACCTAAGATGAAGGAAAATAATGGAGGAGATGGTCATCATGAAGAGAAAACTAAAATTGTGATAGATGTGGATAATGAGACCTAGATGCAGAAAGAAGAAAAAGTTGAGAAATATGTGGCCCCCGCTCCTTACAAGCCTCCTCTACCCTTTCCCCAAAGGTTAGCTAAGGCTAAGTTAGAAAAACAGTTCGGAAAATTTTTAGAGATTTTGAAAAAGTTGCACATCAATATCCCATTCACTGAAGCTATTTCTCAAATGTTTTCCTATGCTAAGTTCTTGAAAGAGATCTTATCCAATAAAAGGAAGTTAGAAGAATACGAGACTGTGGCCCTTACTGATGAGTGTAGTGCTATCATCCAGAACAAACTGCCTCCCAAACTTAAGAATCCACATTCATTTTCTATTCATTGTGTTATTGGTAATGTCTCTATTAACCGTGCTTTGTGTGATTTAGGTGCAAGCGTAAGTTTGATGCCGATGTCTATTTGTAAGAAGCTTGGCATAGATGATTTGAAGCCAACCACGATATCACTCCAATTGGCGGATCGATCGGTAAAATATCTGGTAGGTATACTTGAAGATGTACCTATCCAGATCGGTAAGTTCTTTATCCCGGTCGATTTCGTTATCTTAGAAATAGAAGAAGATTCTAACATTCTAATTATTTTAGGAAGACCCTTCCTTGCTACTGCAGGTGCTATAATTGATGTTAAAAATGGAAGGCTCTCTTTAAATATTAGAAGGGAGACGGTAGAATTTGATTTAAGCAATACTATAAAACTCTCTCTAACTGATAAAATTTGTTACAGGGTCGACGTCATTGACAAGTCTATACATGAGCAAATTGCAAACAATAACTCAGCTGATCCACTTGAGAAATGTTTGGTAAGTGATGGTTCAATAAATGATAAAGACCCCGAGGTAGCCGCGTATGCTCAATCTCTAGAATCAACATCAACGACTCCACTTCGAAATGCAAAGCTTGAAAGATTGATGCTAGAGCCAAAAGGATCTATTTGTGAAAAGGATAATGCGCCAAAGGTAGAATTAAAACCCCTTCCTTCCTCTTTAAGGTATGAATTTCTTGGCTCTGACTCTACTTATCCTGTGATTGTGAATGCATGTCTAAATGAAAATGAAACTGATAAGTTGCTTAGAACACTTAGGGTGCATCGCAAGGTCATAGGATACACCATGGACGACATTAAGGGAATCAACCCATCGATTTGCATGCATAGAATTCTCTTGGAAGATGATCATAAACCCTCAATAGAGCACCAACGTAGATT